CCCTTGGGCCCCCAGGCCTTCACCAGCTTCCGCCCTGATGCGGTGGTCCACTTCGGGGAGCAGCGCAGCGCCCCCTACTCCATGATCGACCGCCAGCGCGCGGTGTTTACGCAGCACAACAACGTGATCGGCAACATAAACGTGATGTTCGCCATCAAGGAGCTGGCGCCGGGTGGGTCCCTGGACAGGGCGGCCGTATGTAGGGGGAAACGGGGGGATTTGGCTGGCACGCATGCGTCGGGCGGCGCGCAGCGTTTTTGGGGGGCTGGCTGGGTTGCGACTCCATCTGCCCTGTCTGCTTGACGGTGACGCGCTTTCCTGGGGCCCAGTTTGGTGGTCCAAGGGGCGGGGGCTGCCAGCCGCGCACTGCGCAGCGGCAGCACAGGACGAACCCCGCCCCTTCCCGCTGCGAACGGCACCCGCGCGCCTCGCGGCGCGGCCCTGGCCGGCCCCCAATCCGTGCTGCCCAGCGCGCCCCCCGGCCGTGCACACCGCTCACACGTGTCGCGTGCCGCGCCGATGCTACTGCTGCCTTTGTGGCTGCCAGACTGCCACCTGGTGAAGCTGGGCACCATGGGTGAGTACGGCACCCCCAACATCGACATCGAGGAGGGCTTCATCACCATCAACCACAACGGCCGCACCGACACGCTGCCCTACCCCAAGCAGGCGCGCGCGTACGACCTAGGCGCGCCGCGGGAGAGCGTGCTCACACGCCACGATTCGCGCGCAGCGCGCCCCCTGTGCCGTCGCGTGCGCTTGCGGCTCGTCATGAGCCGGCCCTCCGTCGGCAGACGGGCGCGGCGTCACGTCGGGCTGGTGGCCGGCAGCTGCACCCCAGTTGCTGACCTGCGGCCCCCGCCGCGCGCACGCGCTCGCGTGACCGCAGGGCAACAGCTTCTACCACCTGTCCAAGATCCACGACTCCCACAACATCCACTTCGCCACCAAGGCCTGGAAGCTGGCAGCCACCGACCTCAACCAGGCGCGCCCTCCCTCTCCCACCCCCTTCATAAAGCCCAGATCAGCGGCCAGATCCAGACCCCTGGTCACGCCCCCTCTTGCCCTGCACCGCGCAGCCTGCGCGCCGCCTGGGCATTGGCAAGCAGCCCGCCAGCGCAGCTGCTGTCGGTTGCGTTGCGTGGCACAAGGGCTGCTAGCTGCTGCCCGCTAGTGGGCGCCTCCAAGACCTGCTCGCACACGCTCGGGCGCCCCATGTTTGAATCTCTGAACGATCGGGGGTCGCGACTGTCCAAATTCCCGCAGGGCGTGGTGTACGGCGTGCGGACGGAGGAGACTGTGGCCGACCCGCTGCTCATCAACCGCTACGACTACGACGGCATCTTCGGCACCGCCCTCAACCGCTTCGTGGTCCAGGTGTGTTTGACGATGCGCCACACACATGCACGCGTACGCGCGCTCGATTGCAGCCTCGCGTTTGGTTTCGCCGGCGCTCCGCAGCCTGGCGCCCGCGCCCGGCCCGCGCACGAGGTTGCACGCGCCCGCGTCCGGCCTGCGCACGAGAACTTGCGCGCCCGCTCTCTGCCCTGCCGCAGGCGGCTGTGGGCCACCCGCTGACTGTGTACGGCAAGGGCGGGCAGACGCGCGGCTTCCTTGACATCCGCGACACCGGTGAGGCTCGCCGCCGGGATCAGACAAGGGGACGGCTGGGACCGGCAGCCGCCCTCGCGCGGCCTACGCTTGGCAGCGGGCTGACCTGCGACGCGCCGGTTTCGCGCCGCTGCTCTACCGGCGTCGACGACTGCGTTCTGCCGAAGCGTGCTCGCGGTGGTGTGAGAGGACCCTCCGCCTCATTCGACGCCCTCCGCCCTCGTTTTCGCTGCCCGCGCACGCCGCCGCGGCCCACAGTGCGCTGCATTCAGATCGCCATCGACAACCCGGCCAACAAGGGCGAGTTCCGCGTGTTCAACCAGTTCACGGAGCAGTTCAGCGTGAACCAGCTGGCGGAGATCGTCACCAAGGAGAGCAAGAAGCTGGGGCTGGACGTCCAGGTCACCAGCGTGCCCAACCCCAGGTGCGCTGCGCTGCAGCAAGGGCGAGGCGGCAAGGGCAGAAAAAGGGAGAAGCGGCGCTCGCCCCTGGTCGGGCTGGCTGGCGACGGCTGGATCGGGGTTGACGATGGGCACGGCAGTGGGGGCTGGAAATAGGGTGGACCCGTGGGTGGGGTCGTCTTGCTCCTTGTGATTCTCGCTTGCACATGGTTTCTCCATTTGCTGTGGCGCGCCACCAACGCGTGCGCGGGCACGCACACAAACACACGCTCATGCACACCAATCACATACAAAGCACACATACACACCTACACACCCACAAACACCACGCACACATCCACACATACACACACATACATCCTCATCACAACCAGGGTGGAGGCGGAGGAGCACTACTACAACGCCAAGTGCTCCAAGCTGCAGGACCTCGGCCTGGAGCCCCACCTGCTGCAGGAGTCCATGATCGACTCGCTGCTCGAGTTCGTCATCGAGTACAAGGACAGGTGGGCGGCGCTGCACATGCCCGCCTACCTGAGCAGTGTGCTGTGTGCCTGGTCTCCCCTGCGTGCCTGACGACGGCCAATTTGCACCTCCCTGCGCCCGTGGCAGCGGTGGCTGCCTTTGCCGATGGCATAGGGCTTGGTAAGGTGCTGAGCGCGACTGCTGCCCTGTCGGGTGCCCGCAACCCTCAACCCCTGAAGGGTCAAGTTGGAGCTCATCAAGCCGGCCGTGGACTGGCGCAAGGCGGGCGTCAAGGTGCGGGCAAGAGGAGGGCGTGGGGGGGGGGGCGGCAACGGGGGCGGTCGTTCGGCGGCCGCCGACCACTTTCAGGTGTTGCCCTCCTGTGCTGTTTGCGCCGCGATTTTGTGCCTGGAAGCTGCCGAGGCCTCAATCACACGCCGCCCTGAGCGCCACCGGCTGGTTTTGGTATGGACAGATGCGTTCACCTCGTTCTTGGCCCACCCACCCAACCACCCGCAGGTCAACACCATGGGCGCCGCCGTGGCCTCAAACTGAGGGCCCCGCTGTGGGGTTGGCGTTTGGCTGGCCGCGCGCGCGAGTGCGCGCGCGCCGCCAGGCCCTGGGCTCGAGGCTTGGGACGGGGTTGGCGGCCCACTGGCCCCTGTGGGATGGGGGGCTGCGAACTTGCTTTTAGGCTATATCACAAGCTACTGTTATGGCGCCCCGCTGCGGCTTTGGACCCCCTTGGCACCGCTGGGGCGCGCGTGTGAAGGATGTTGATGACCCTCTGCCTTCCTGCTGCTCGGCACCCTTCGCTGCTGGGCCAGGGGGCGGCAAAGCGCGAGCGGCGCTGTGCTGCAATCCACCTGTCACATCACTCGCCGCAGCAGTTGCTCTCTCGACTGCTGTTTATCCCGTTCCCCTGACGCTGCACCCTACCCACTGGTAACGTGCGACCACCTAATACTGATGACTTGTGCAGAAGTTTACAATGCTTGGGACCATGCAGGCAAAATAGAAGTGCAAGGACTGCGCAGCCTTGACTTATAGTGATGAGTGCACCTCTTCAGCTGCCGAGCTGCGTCAGCACTGCATGATGCAGGACTTGCGGCAAAGCTGCTCATTGCTCCGTTCCAGCAAGGTTGCACGTAGAAATTTACAGGTGCATTGTGCATGAAGGCAAGGGCCTCTGCCGCCGTTTCGAAAAAAAGTATCCGACGTGTGCGATTTCGCGCTATGCGCCAGTTCACATATGTTGATGACTTCGTTTGGGCAAGCCTTCCCTGAACCAGTCATCTGAAATAGACAGCGAACGCGCCAAGGTGGGGTGTGCAGCGTCAAGCGCACACGTGCATCAATGTGCAGGGACACTGCAGCCGCTGCTGCAGGGTCGCGAAGCCGTGGAACACAATTTTGTGCCAACACCTGCTCTGATGCATCACACCTGCTTTCACACAGGCATGCACGCACCAAGTGCAGAGGAGCAGCAGCGGCAGCACGGCATGAGTGACGACTGCACCAGCACCCTGGCGTTTCTCTCGCCCGCCGCCATCACACCCCAGCGCGGCGGCGGGAAAAGGGGCGCGATTGTGGGCGTGTGCAGCCCCGCGGGCAACGGCGACCCATCAGCAACCCGTGCTGGCTCCTTGGCCCCAGAGTCTCCCCTTGGGAGCCTCGAGCCTCAGGCAGTCGAGTTCGGCGCACCACATAAACCTTTGAGAGCCGGTTTCAGGGCGCGAAGGACCATCAGCATGGGTGACCTCATCAGAACCGCCGCAGAGGGCGGCGGCAGCCGCGCGGCGGCCGCGTTTGCGCGGCTGTCAGAACAAGTGGCGTCCCCTGCGGCAGCGTCAGAGCTGTGCGGTGTCCCCGGCGCGCTCGGCGCCATCTGCGCGGCCGCCGACGCAGGGGGACGCGCCGGCGCCGCGGCGGCCGCGTTTGCGCGGCTGTCAGAACAAGTGGCGTCCCCTGCGGCAGCGTCAGAGCTGTGCGGTGTCCCCGGCGCGCTCGGCGCCATCTGCGCGGCCGCCGACGCAGGGGGACGCGCCGGCGCCGCGGCCCTGCTCCTCCTCGCCCGCGTCGCGTCGTGCGGGGACGCTGACGTGGCTCAGGCCCTCGCGACCCACCCGGCTGGCTGCCTGCCGACGCTCGTGGACGCGGGCCGCGGCGGCGGCGCGTGCGGGGCGGCGGCGCGCCGGGCCCTCCTGGACATTCTCATGGCCGACCTCAGCCTGTCCCTCGCCGTGCGCAGCACCCGCGGCGCCGTCGAGGCGATCGCGGACGCCATTGCACGCGACTGCTGCGACAGCGCGGTGGGCCTGCTCTTCACCATCACCAGCGGCGCGCGATCAGACCTGCTGCGCCGGCTCGCGCGCACCCCCGGGTGCCTGGACGCGCTGTTCTTTCGCATCGAGCCGGGGGGCTACGAGGCTTTGAGCCCGCTGTCGGCCCTATGGCAGATGGTGGATTCGGACGTGCGCAGGAACGGGGCGCTGCTGCGCGACGCGCCGGGCTCCTTGGAGGCGATCGCCGCCGCCGCCGCCCGCGGCATCGTCGCCTGGGGCTTGGCGTTCGTTCTGCTCGCCGCCCTGCCCTGCGCCTCGGAAGCTGAGCGGGCTGCGCTCGCCCAGAGGGCCGGCCGCGTCGACGGCTTCGTCGCCGCCGCCCTGCGCCGCATGCGGCGGGGCGACGAGGCGGGCGCGGCCGCGGCGGCGGTACTGCTGACCATGGCGCGCGGGGACGCTTCGTTTGCCGCCCTCATCTGCGACACCGCCGGCTCCACGTGCGACATCTGCGCGGCGGCCGTCGGCGGCGGCGAGCGCGGGGGCGCGGCCATCAAGCTTCTGTCGACACTGTGCGCCAGCTGCCCAGATCTCGAGGTCTCTCTGGCCCGAGCCATGCTCGAGGCGGACGGCTTCATGACCGCGCTGGTGCGCGCCGTCCGCGCGGGCGATGCACACATGTGCACGGCCGCGGTGTCCTTGTGTCGTTTTCTCAATGCGTGCCCCTTGGACACGACCAAGGCGTTCTTGGAGGTCGACGTGACCGGCGCCCTCGCCGCCGCCGTCGCGCGCGGCGACGACGGCTGCGGCGCCGCGGTGGCGGAGGCGGCGGCGGCGGCGCTGCTGCGCGGCGGCGCGCGCAGCCTGGAACTGTGCGACGC